GACTGTAAGTAGATCTCAGTTCCGCGTTTATTGTAAGTTGATAAAAACATCTGGAAGAAAATGACTAAAACTGTTGGCATCTTTGTATGTATTTATTACTTGATGTAATAAAGCTTATTTTCATTAACAATTTGTATTAAAATGTGGGTTCCTTGAATTCTTTTTTTTTTGAGACGGAGTCTCACTGTCACCCAGGCTAGAGTGCAGTGGCCGGATCTCAGCTCACTGCAAGCTCCGCCTCCCGGGTTTACGCCATTCTGCTGCCTCAGTCTCCCGAGTAGCTGGGACTACAGGCGCCCGCCACCTCGCCCGGCTAGTTTTTTGTATTTTTTAATAGAGACGGGGTTTCACCAGGTTAGCCAGGATGGTCTCAATCTCCTGACCTCGTGATCCGCCTGTCTTGGCCTCCCAAAGTGCTAGGATTACGGGCTTGAGCCACCGCGCCCGGCCGGGTTCCTTGAATTCTTACGTGGTTTTATTTTTTTGAGACGGTCTTGTTTTGCCACCCAGGCTGGAGTGCAGTAATGTAATCTTGGCTCATCACAGCCTCAACCGCCTTCAAGCAATCCTCCCACTTCAGCCTCCCTAGTGGCTGGAACTACAGGTGTGTGCCACTACGCCTGAATAATTTTTAAAATACTTTTTGTATTGAATGAGTGGGTGTGTGGGGAAAAAAAAAATTTTTTTTGTAGACATGAGGTCTCACTATGTTGCCTAGGTTGGATCCTGGGCTCAAGTGATCCTTCCACCTTAGCCTCTCAAAGTACTGGGATTATAGGTGTGAACCACCATGCCTCATCTAAAGAAGTGCTGTTTTAAATAATCTCTCATGAAAGTGTTTGAAATGCTTGTTCCCCGGTGCCCTAAAGAAATAGCACTTGAACATTCATTTACTTAGCAAGGCCAGTTTTACTTCTTGCTGAAAGGGTACGCTCGCCAGTTTTGCCATGAGAGTACACCGAACAAAGAGACCGGGTCATTTATAACCTGAGGCGTCCACCCTACGGCTGTGTCTGGTTTCCACTGGCTGGAACGGGACCTCACATTCTCTATTTGTCCTCATTGGCTAGCAACTTAGAACTTTTTAAAAGAGGCAAAGGCAGAGGAGAACAAAGGAAGGAGGAAGTAACTTGTGGAATGGTGAGAAAGGTAAAAACACTTTTAAATAAGGAAGAGGAACAGGCTATGACCTAATGCTTGCTTGGACCAGTATAAGCATGCCAGGCAAATATTTAGGCTACACTGTGGGAGCTAAGAACATAAAGTACATTGATTTGTTTACCACGGCTAGCAGATAATTAAGAATGTTAGCATAGGTCTTTGAATAAATTTTGCTTCTAAGAGAAGTTACTATTTATTCCAAATTAAATGGGGAGGAAAGTCTTTGGAGAGGAACCTCTACTTTACTTTTTACAAGAGGTAGGAGATACCTGTTCAAAGTATATTTTCCCACCTGACCCGGAAACATTTTGGTGATGACATCATTAGCACAGTTGGCTGGGGAAAGAATGTGTTTGCTAAGTCAGAAGTAGGGATAAAGTGAAGTTGCATTATCGGTATATTTTAAATGCAGCAGCAAATGTAAGTGTATGCTAGGAAAAAAAAATACCAGAAGCAGTTTTTTCTTAAAAATTATTATTTTTTTTAGATGGAGTGTCCCTCTGTTGCCTACGCTAGAGTGCAGTGGCTTGATGTTGGTTCACTGCAATCTCTGCCTCCCAGGTTCAAGCGATTCTCCCAGCTTAGCCTCTGGAGTAGCTGGGATTACAGGAGCGTGCCACCACTCCCAGCTAATTTTTTTTTTTTTTTTTTTTTTTGAGACGGAGTCTCGCTCTGTCGCCCAGGCTGGAGTGCAGTGGCACTATCTCGGCTCACTGCAAGCTCCGCCTCCCGGGTTTACGCCATTCTCCTGCCTCAGCCTCCCGAGTAGCTGGGACTACAGGCGCCCGCCACCTCGCCCGGCTAATTTTTTTGTATTTTTAGTAGAGACGGGGTTTCATTGTGTTACCCAGGATGGTCTCGATCTCCTGACCTCGGGATCCGCCCGTCTCGGCCTCCCAAAGTGCTGGGATTACAGGCTTGAGCCACCGCGCCCGGCCTTAATTTTTGTATTTTTAGTAGAGAGGGGATCTTACCATGTTGGTCAGGCTGGTCTCGAACTCCTGACCTCAGGTGACCCACCCGCCTTGGCCTCCCAAAGTGCTGGGATTATAGGCATGAGCCACCCTGCCCAGCCAGGAGCAATATTATTGAGTTGGCCTATTGCCCCATGGTTAGGCCATTCTCAGTTCATAGGTGCTTATCCTGTGAGCTTTTGCTGGGTGCTAGAGGAATCTTTTTCATAAAGTGCGGCCCCTAAATTCAAGCTACTTCATAAGGTGCTCACTGGAAGAATCATCTGCTTTGGTGCCAGGGAAAAAATGGGCCACACTGGATGTGTTGAGAATCCACCTGGTGGTCTCTGACAATGCCTCTCAAAGGGATTTTAATTCTTACTCTGTATCTTAGGCCCTAAATGCCTGTAATGAGAATTTGCTTTGCTGAGCAGTAGACAAAGACAAATGAGACTTGTCTTTGATGCAGGCATCAGGCAAATTCTCAGCTGTGACAAGGCAGAAGGCTGGCAGGAACAGGCTCTAGGGAAATGGGTGCTGTGTCCCCTTCCTGCATGTGGCAGAAAGTTGCAAAGGTATGAGAGAGGAGACAAATGGGAAACACTGTCCCTCATCTCCAGCTCCAAATTTCCCTTCCTACTATTACTGATTTCTTAGGTGTCATTCTAGAGACTTTATTTTCTAAAGGCAGTTTGGGCTGGGGAAGGGTCTTGTACACTCGCAACAGGAGGTGTGAAATGAGCCCTGCATTGAATGTGTAAGCGTCCAAAGCAGTCACTGAGGTGAGAAGAGCCTTCATTGGCAGCCTCAAAGTGAAAGGTGTGCTTGAATGTATGCACGGGACATGCGGCCTAGGCTGCTGGACAGACTGCAGAACTGAAGCAGGCCCTGCAACTGGCAATCTCACAATGGCCTTCTCACCTCCCAGTATTTTTCCCTATTTGTTTTCTAGGTGGACTCCAGAAGAGTTCTAACAAGCCAAGTTATTAAGCATGGCTTTAAAAAAAACAAAACCAACAAAACTCTAAGGTCAAATCCAGCTTGAGTAATGTAAATTTATAAGCAATCAGATTCTGGAACCTCACCTTTACAAATCTTGCAAATGAACACGCAGGGAATGTATTTCTACATCAGAGGCACAACTGGGCATCATGCAGCCTAGAAGCTAATGGAGCACATGGACAAGGAACGGAGCCTTTAACTCTTCCAACCATCTTGTTTTCTTTTTTTTTTTTTTGAGACAAGAATCTTGCTCTGTCACTCACGCTGGAGTGCAGTGGCGCAATCTCAGCTCACTGCAACCTCCGCCTCCTGGATTCAAGCAATTCTCCTGCCTCAGCCTCCCGAGTAGCTGGGATTACAGGCACGTGCCACCATGCCTGGCTAATTTTTGTATTTTTAGTAGAGACAGGGTTTCACCATGTTGGTCAGGCTGGTCTCGAACTCCTGACCTCGTGATCCACCCCGCCTCGGCCTCCCAAAGTGCTGGGATTACAGGTATGAGCCACTGCGCCCGGCCCTTGTTTTCTCTTTTACTGTCTTGAGCTGACATCGGGATAACTGATGTTTAAGTGTCACTGGGCAGCAGCTTCCCAGCAGATGAGAAGTTGCCACCAAATGCTATTAATGTTTGACTCAATTCTCCAGTTCTCCATAAAAACTGACTTTACTAATTAAAAAAAAAATTTATTATTACAAAACAGATACAATCACACAAAGGTACAACTTGAAATAGGGGTACACCCTTCTAACTACCACCCAGGTGAAGAAATAGAACTTTGTCAGGCACCCCAGAGCCCCTCCAAGTGCCTCATCACAGTGACAACTCCTTTCTTCCCTCTAGAAGTAGCCATTATCCTTGTAGAGTACTGACTCTGTGTTTCTTTATGGTTTTATCTTATTTTTTTTTTTTTTGAGACGGAGTCTCGCTCTGTCGCCCAGGCTGGAGTGCAGTGGCCGGATCTCAGCTCACTGCAAGCTCCGCCTCCCGGGTTCACGCCATTCTCCTGCCTCAGCCTCCGGAGTAGCTGGGACTACAGGCGCCCGCCACCTCGCCCGGCTAGTTTTTTGTATTTTTAGTAGAGACGGGGTTTCACCGGGTTAGCCAGGATGGTCTCGATCTCCTGACCTTGTGATCCGCCCGTCTTGGCCTCCCAAAGTGCTGGGATTACAGGCTTGAGCCACCGCGCCCGGCCGGTTTTATCTTATTTTTTAAGAGACAGGGTCTTGTTCTGTCACACAAGAACAAGTGGACAGGTGGAGTGCAGTGGTGTTCATAGCTCAGTGCAATCTTGAGCTCCTGGACTCAGGTGATCTTCCTGCCTTAGCCTCCCAAAGTGCTGGGATTACAGGCGTGTGTCATTGTGCTCAACCTAGTTTTATTTATTTACTTTTTTTGAGACGGAGTCTTGCTCTGTCACCCAGGTGTTGCCCAGGCTGGAGTGCAGTGGCGCAATCTCAGCTCACTGCAACCTCCGCCTCCCAGGTTCAAGCAATTCTCCTGCCTCAGTCTCCCAAGTAGCTGGGATTACAGGCACCCACCACCATGCCTGGCTAAGTTTTTGTATTTTTAGTAGAGACGGGGTTTCACCATGTTGGCCAGGCTGTTCTCAAACTGCTGACCTCAGGTGATCTGCCCGCCTCGGCCTCCCAAAGTGCTGGGATTACAGGTGTGAGGCACTGTCCACCGTGCCCGCCGAGTTTTATTCTTGAGTCGTGCATGTCTCTGTTCACTATAGTTTAGCGCACCATTTAAATAACTTTGTTGTCTTTTAAGTTCATCAAAAATATTTCTTTTGAAGCACTGTAATAATGCTGGTGATGGAACTCACCGCCATTATTCCCTGGGAGCTTCTGGCAGATTCTGTCAGTTGTAATCTGTAATTCTTTTCTCAGTGGACCTTTTTACTTGACTCCCACAGTTCTTTCAGTAGCTTCTTTTTTTCCAGGGTCTCCTTTGCTCTTTTTTTCCTTTCTTGTTTTTTCTTCGCTGCTTCTTGTTTTTCTTTGTGAACAGGACTGTTTTCACCATTGTAGAAAACATCTACTTTCTCTTGTAGGATTTTCCGAGCTAGCTTTCTGTTCTGATCAACTGATCTTGTCTGATGGCACTGTAAGAGATAATATTTTATAATGTGAAAACCACAGGATGTTACAAAACAGACAGGACCTCAGAAGTCATTAAATTCAACCTGTTCGCTTATTTATTTATTTATTGAGACAGAGTTTCGTTCTTGTCACCCAGGCTAGAGTGCAATGGAGTGATCTTGGCTCACTGCAACCTCCGCCTCCTGGGTCCAAGCGATTCTCTTGCCTCAGTCTCTCAAGTAGCTGGGATTACAGGCGCATGCCACCATGCCCAGTTAATTTTTGTATTTTTAGTAGAGATGAGGTTTCACCATGTTGGTCAGGCTGGTCACGACAACCTGTTCGCTTTTTTTTTTTTTTGAGACGGAGTCTCGCTGTGTCTCCCAGGCTGGAGTGCAGTGGCATGATCTCGGCTCACTGCAAGCTCCGCCTCCCGGGTTCACGCCATTCTCCCGCCTCAGCCTCCCAAGTAGCTAAGACTACAGGCGCCCGCCACCACGCCCGGCTAGTTTTTTTTTTTGTATTTTTAGTAGAGACGGGGTTTCACCATGTTAGCCAGGATGGTCTCGATCTCCTGACCTCGTGATCCACCCGCCTCGGCCTCCCAAAGTGCTGGGATTACAGGCTTGAGCCACCGCGCCCGGCCCTGTTCGCTTTATAGAGAGGGACAAACCTGGAAGGCAAAGCCCCTTATCAGGAGTCCCCATGAGTCAGTAGCAGTGAAGACCAGCCCCTTTCCTGCCTCTGCCCCGTGTCTCACACCCTTGCTGTATTATGTGGCTTTCACTGTGATTGTTTTAATCTTAGGAGTGCTATTTTGTTTAGAAGAAACAGTGGCCTTCAAATAACTTAAAGTCCCAAAATAATGATAAAAATATCAACTATGTATCTAGCTTGTGGCCAGTGAACAACCACTTTGTGTGCACCATTCATAAGCATAAAGTTCTGTCTGAAGGAAGAAAATAGCATCTTTATTATTAGTCAACCATAACTCATTCACTATGTAATGCCTTAGTTTTTTTTTTTTTTTTGAGACGGAGTCTCGCTCTGTCGCCCAGGCTGGAGTGCAGTGGCCGGATCTCAGCTCACTGCAAGCTCCGCCTCCCGGGTTCACGCCATTCTCCTGCCTCAGCCTCCCGAGTAGCTGGGACTACAGGCGCCTGCCACCTCGCCCGGCTAAGTTTTTTTTTTGTATTTTTAGTAGAGACGGGGTTTCACTGTGTTAGCCAGGATGGTCTCGATCTCCTGACCTCGTGATCCGCCCGTCTCGGCCTCCCAAAGTGCTGGGATTACAGGCTTGAGCCACCGCGCCCGGCCTAATGCCTTAGTTATTACAGGTGAGTGCCTTGCAAAGCTGTTTGATAAAAGATACATCCCAAGCCAGGCATAGTGGCTCACACCTATAATCCCAATGCTTTGGGGGCTGAAATGGGAGGATCACTTGAGGGCTGGAGTTTGAGACCAGCATGGGCAACATAGCAAGACCCCCCATCTCCACCAAAAATGTAAAAATTGGGTGACCGGACACGGTGGCTCATGCCTGTAATCCTAGCACTCTGGGAGGCCAAGATGGGCGGATCACTTGAGGTCAGGAGTTCGGAACCAGCCTGGCCAACATGGTGAAACCCCGTCTCTAGTAAAAATACAAAAAAATTAGCTGGGCGTGGTGATGGGCACCTGTAATCCCAGCTACTCGGGAGGCTGAGGCAGGAGAATTGCTTGAACCCAGGAGGCGGAGGTTGCAGTGAGCTGAGATTGCGCCACTGTACTCCAGACTGGGCAATAGAGCAAGACTGTCTCAAAAAAAAACAAAACAAAAAACACTGAGTGTGGTGGTGCATGCCTTCAGTCCCAGCTACTCAGGAGGCTGAGGCGGGAGGATTGCTCGAGCCCAGGTGTCTGAGGCTACACTGAGCCATGATTGTACCACTGTACTCCAGCCTGGCTGACAAAGCAAGACCCTGTCTCTTAAAAAAAAAAAAAATTATGAAATTACGGTGAAAGAATAATACTGAAAGCAAGTTTGGAATGAGTTATGTAAAATAGGTTAAACAAAAATTAACTCTCATGTTTCAGAATTTTGTTACTCATGAATGACACTTTTCAAGGAGGAAAAGTGATTGAGGTTTTACATGATATGCTCGTGGCTCAAAAACCTAGCTGTGAAGTGCAGCTGTTAGGTACATGGACTTGGGGTATGGTTTGAACTACTAAGTGGCAGGACCTTGGGCAGGTCACTTAGCCTCTCTGTGTCCCAGATTCCACACCTGTACTGTGATGGAAATAATGAACATGGAGTTATGGGGACTGCAGAGTTAATGCTGCTTAGAACAGTTCCTCCCACACGTTTCCATGGTCTGTAAGTATCTGCTGCCAGTATCAGTATACATGAAACACTTGCCTTGGCTATCTCTTTTCTGTGCTGCTTCCAGTCCATGAGGCAGATGGACTGGGAGCCCCTCTGATCAGGCTTGTCTTTTTTTTTTTTTAAGAGGGAATCTTGTCTGTTGCCCAGGTTGGTGTGCAGTAGCGTGATCTCAGCTCACTGCAATGTCTGCCTCCAGGGTTCAAGCGACTCTCCTGCATCAGCCTCCTGAGTAGCTGGGATTACAGGCACGCGCCACCACGCCCGGCTAATTTTTGTATTTTTAGTAGAGATGGGGTTTTGCCATGTTGACCAGACTGGTCTTGAACTCCTGACCTCAGGTAATCCACCCACCTCGGCCTCTCAAAGTGCTGGGTTTATAGGTGTGAGCCACCGTGCCTGGCCCGAGACTTGTTTTTTTATGTAAAGAAGGAAGACTCCCATAGGCAGCTGTGCACAGCATTTTTTCTTCTGAGGTTGGAAAATGCCTGGCCTCCATGATCTCACCCTCAGTCCTCTCTGTCCAGAAGGGGAGGTATCACTGACATTTACCAAAGGGGACAGAGAGGCATGGAGGACGTGGCCACGCTAACGTTAACCAGCCAGGACAGCTAAAGGCTGGGACCCCTAGCCGACAACCCAGGCCTGCTTGCTGCCTCCTCAGGGACTTGGAGCCCACAGCAATGCTGGGGATCTCGGCAGCCTTCCTGAAGTGGGAATGGATTTGAAAGAACCATGCTGCCCGGGCGCCTGCCTTTATCAGCCACTGCTTAGCTTTGTCAAGATGTTGCTTCCGGGGCAGCAGCCAAGCACCAGTGCTGCCTGCCAAATTCAAGGATGGCAGCCATACCCTGGCTCCAAAAGATCCTGGAAGCAGGCTTCCCAGGCTGTTGTAGGTGGTTCTGCCTTAGGGAGGAATGGCTCAGGGATGGGACGAGATCTGCAGTGCCCTCTACTGCCTGGCTGGTAGAGGGTGGCCCGAGCCAGAAAGAGAATGCCCTTCAGCTGATCCCATTCAGACTTGGGAGAAATCTCTGGAGGCTGTGAGACCCTTGGGCGGGGCCTCTCCCCTCAGCGGCCTTCTGTTGTCTACCTTTACAACGATGCCCGAGGGGATGTGCTTCAGCACCACACAGTTGCTGGTTTTGTTAGTTGCCTGGCCCCCTGGACCGTGTCCTTTCACAAACTGCTCTTCGAGCTCATTCTCATCCAAGGAAAGCAGTGCAGGGTAGTCCTTCTTGCCTGCCATCTGGACCAGAGTGACAGCTATTCCTGGGGATAACAACGTCAGCTTCTCCCAAAGCCGGAGTCCCCATGGCGCCCGGCATATTCGGGTCAGTGATGTAGGAAAATGAAATAAACCCGTGGTGCTCTTGAGGAACATGGCTCTGCTGGCTGAGGACCTGGGTTAGATGAAAAAGGAGGAGAGCTTTCAGAAAGAGGCATCTGCCCTCAAGATTGTGCTTCAGATTTGAAGACAGCTTTTTATAAAGCAATTCAAATGATGACCCATCTGTTACCAAGGGAATTTAGGAAATGGGTGGAGACACATTATTCAGCAAGACACCCCTCTCCTCACCCTTGCACTGTCTGCCATGTTACCAGGACATGCCCTGCCAGCTAATACATATTTTCTTGCAATAGACCAAAAATATCTTCTAAGCACCTGGGGTGCTGTTTTCTCAGGAAGGAGAGGTTTTGAGTGTGAAATTCAGGCCGGGCGTGGTGGCTCACGCCTGTAATCCAAGCACTTTGGGAGGCTGAGGCAGGTGGATCACAAGGTCAGGAGTTTAAGACCAGCTTGGCCAAGATGGTGACACTCTATCTCTACTAAAAGTACAAAAATTAGCCAGGCTTGGTGGTGGGTACCTGTAATCCCAGCTGCTCAGGAGGCTGAGGCAGAGCCACTGCACTCCAGCCTGGGCAACAGAGCGAGACACTGTCTCAAAAAAAAAAAAAAAAAAAGAAATTCAAAGGAACGGGACTATAATTTGATACAGATAAATAGTGCATCAAGCAAGAATTAGCATCTGGGTCAAGTGCCAGTATTTAAATGTTTGAGAATCTCTGAAATCAAAATGTAAAGATGACAGTATGAGAGTCTATTTTATTTTTTGAGATGGAATCTTGCTCTGTTGCCCAGGCTGGAGTGTGATGGCATGATCTTGGCTCAATGCAACCTCCGCCTCCCAGGTTCAAGTGATTCTCCTGCCTCAGCCTCCCGAGTAGCTGGGATTACAGGTGCATGCCACCATGCCCGGCTAATTTTTGTATTTTTAGTAGAGGTGGGGATTCATTCACCATGTTGGCCAGGCTGGTCTTGAATTCTTGACCTCAGATGATCTGCCCGCCTCGGCCTCCCAAAGTGCTGGGATTACAAGCATGAGCCACCCCCAACCCCGGCTGAGAGTCTATTTTATAGCTGAGCTTAAACAGTCTGACATAGTAAACATCACTATCAATCAATGTCGTGATTGTTGTTTTTTGTTTCCAGTTTCATGGATTTGAATGTGAACATCTGTTCCCCTGGACACACTGCCAATAATGTGGTCCAACTGGTACTCATTGTTGGAACTACCAAGTCAATTAATTTTTTTTTTTTTTTGAGACAGAGTCCCACTCTGTCGCCCAGGTTGTACTGCAGTGGCGTGATCACAGCTTTCTGCAGCCTTGACCTCCCCAGGGTCAGGTGATTCTCTCATCTCAGGCTCCATAGTACGTGAGACTACAGGCACACCCCACCACAGCTGGGTAATTATTTTTTGTAGAGATGGGGTTTCGCCATGTTGCCCAGGCTGGTCTTGAACTCCCTAAGCTCAAGTAATCCACCTGCCTCAGCCTCCCAAAATGCTGGGATTACAGGCATGAGCCACTGCATCCAGCCAGTCAACTCACTTTTAATAAGGTCCTTGTTAGGTATAGTGAGGGACATGAGATGAAAAAGAGCTAGACTGTCTTCATGGAGCTTACAGGTTAGTTAGAAAAGATATTAAAAGACAGATGAGATGGGCCTAGACTCCCCACCTACATCTTTCTCCCATGCTGGATGCTCCCTGCCCTCGAACATCGGACTCCACGTTCTTCAGTTTTGGGACTCGGACTGGCTCTCCTTGCTCCTCAGCTTGCAAACAGCCTATGTTGGGACCTTGCGATCATAATTTATTTGCAGGGGAGCTCCTGGGATCATGGCAAACAGGAGGCAGGACTAGATTGCAGCTTCAGACAGAGCAGCATGCAGAGGCTTACATTGTGAATTTTAGCTCCAGATCAACTGCAAGAACAAGCCAGCAATCCTGAGAGGGCTCACAGACCCTGTGAAGGAAGCAGATTGCTCCTGCAGGGCCTGGGAGACCCCCAAATACTGTGAGTGCCCCAACTGTGGAAGTGGGAAAGGGAGACCCTCCTCTCCAAAACACACCCCCGCACTGGAGAGGCTGAAGGTCTGTTTGCAGAAGAAATTTCTGACTTTACCTGGAGCTAAGTCAGACTCAGGCGAGCGAAATACAGGGGAAGAGGAAGCAGCAGAAAGGCAGTGGGAGCTTGCTGGGTCCCCAGGCAGCCCATTCCTGCCTGACACCACAGGGATCCAGAGGGAGGTTGGCCAGAGGAGCAGGGGGTAAAACTCCACAGGGAGAAGGAATTCAAAATTTCTAGTCGAACTCTAATAATTTAAACAGGGCAAGAAGGCTCCTGGCCAGAACTCAGGGAAGGGCACGAATCCGGCATGCAGACTTCACAGGTGGGGCAAGAACTGCAGCCCTTTTCTTTTGCAGCTGGGAGGCGAACAGCCTCGGGCAAATTTTCAGGCCAGTCTCACCCTCTGCCTGGAAACAGACTCAGGGCAGTTGTTGGGGGACACGGTGGGAGTAAGACCGGCCCTTCGGTTTGTGTGGGAGCTGGGTAAGGCCTGTGACTGCTGGCTTTCCTCCACTTCCCCCTGACAACCTGCATGACTCAGCAGAGGCAGCCACAACTCTACTAGGTACAGAACTCCAGTGACCTGGGAATCTCACCCCCATTCCCTACAGCAGCCTCAGCAAGACCTGCCCTAGGAGAGTCTGAGCTCAGACACGCCTAGCTCCACCCCCACCTGATTGTCCTTCCCTATCCACCCTGGCAGAAAGACAAAGGGCAAATAATCTTGGGAGTTCTAGGGCTCCGCCCACTGCTGGTTCCTCCCCTAACACAGCTGATGCTTTCTTTTTCTTTTTTTTTTTTTTTTTTTGAGACGGAGTCTTGCTCTGTCACCCAGGCTGGAGTGCTGTGGCCGGAGCTCACTGCAAGCTCCGCCTCCCGGGTTCCCGCCATTCTCCTGCCTCAGCCTCCCGAGTAGCTGGGACTACAGGCGCCCACCACCTCGCCCGGCTAGTTTTTTGTATTTTTTAGTACAGACGGGGTTTCACCGTGTTAGCCAGGATGGTCTCGATCTCCTGACCTTGTGATCCGCCCGTCTCGGCCTCCCAAAGTGCTGGGATTACAGGCTTGAGCCACCGCGCCCGGCCGACAGCTGATGCTTTCTGAAAAGCACCACCTCCTGGCAGGAGGCCAACCAGAAAAAAAAATAGACCATTAAACCACCAAAGCTAAGGACCTTCATGGAGTCCATTGTACCCTCGGCCACCTCCACCGAACAGGCACTGGTATCCATGGATGAGAGACCCATAGACGGTTCACATCACCGGACTCTGCAGATAACCTCCAGTACCAGCCCAGAACTGGGAAGACTCGCTGGGTGGCTAGACCCAGAAGAGAGACAACAATCACTGCAAGTAAGTTGGCTCATAGGAAGCCACATCCATAGGAAAAGGGACAGAGTACTACACGAAGAGAACACCCCATGGGACAAAAGAATCGGAACAGCCTTCAGCCCTAGGCCTTCCCTCTGACAGAGCTTACCCAAATGAGAAGGATCCAGAAACAAACACCCGTAATATGACAAAACAAGACTCTTCAACACTCCCCAAAAATGCACTAGTTCACCAGCAATGGATCCAAACCAAGAAGAAATCCCTGATTTACCTGAAAAAGAATTCAGGAGGTTAGTTATTAATCAGGGAAGGACCAGAGAAAGGTGAAGCCCAATGTAAGGAAATCCAAAAAATGATACAAGAAGTGAAGGGAGAAATCATTCAGGGAAATAGATAAAGAAAAAACAATAAAAAATTCAGGAAACTTTGGACACACCTTTAGAAATGCGAAATGCTCTGGAAAGTCTCAGCAATAGAATTCAACAAGTAGAAGAAAGAAATTCAGAGCTCGAAGACAAGGTCTTCAAATTAACCCAATCCAACAAAGACAAAGAAAAAAGGGTAAGAAAATATGAACAAAGCCTCTAAGAAGTCTGGGATTATGTTAAACGACCAAACCTAAGAATAATTGGTGTTCCTGAGGAAGAAGAGAATTCTAAAAGCTTGGAAAACATATTTGGGGGAATAATCGAGGAAAACTTCCCCGGCCTCACTAGAGACTTAGACAGCCAAATACAAGAAGCACAAAGGACACCTGGGAAATTCATTGCAAAAAGATCTTCACCTAGGCACATTGTCATCAGGTTATCCAAAGTTAAAATGAAGGAAAGATTTTTAAGACCTGTGAGGCAGAAGCACCAGGTAACCTATAAAGGAAAACTTATCAGATTAACAGCAGATTTCTCAGGAGAAACCCTACAAGCTAGAAGGGATTGGGGCCCTATGTTCAGCCTCCTCAAACAAAACAACTATCAGCCAAGAATTTTGTATCCAGTGAAAAAGTAAGTATCACTTATGAAGAAAAGATAGTCATTTTCAGACAAACAAATGCTGAGAGAATTCGCCATTACCAAGCCACCACTACAAGAACTGCTAAAAGGAGCTCTAAATCTTGAAACAAATCCTGGAAACACATCAAAACAGAACCTCTTTAAAGCATAAATCACACAGGACCTATAAAACAAAAATACAAGTTAAAAAGCAAAACCAAAAAACCAAAAAACCCCTAAAGTACACAGGCAACAAAGAGCACGATGAATGCAATGGTACCTCACGTTTCAATACTGACATTGAATGTGAATGGCCTAAACACTGCACTTAAAAGATACAGAACCGCAGAATGGATAAGAACTCACCAACCATCTGCTGCCCTCAGAAGACTCACCTAACACATAAGAACTCACATAAACTTAAAGGGGTGGAAAAAGGCATTTCATGCAAATAGACACCAAAAACAAGCAGGGGTAGCTATTCTTATATCAGACAAAACAAACTTTAAAGCAACAGCAGTTAAAAGAGACAAAGAGGGACATTAGATATATAATGGTAATAAGGCCTTGTCACAGGAAAATATCACAATCCTAAACATATATGAACCTAACACTGGAGCTCCCAAATTTATAAAACAATTACTAACAGACCTAAGAAATGAGATAGACAGCAGCACAATAATAGTGCGGGACTTCAATACTCCACTGACAGCACTAGACAGGTCATCAAAACGAAAAGTCAACAAAGAATGGATTTAAACTATACCCTGGAACAAACGGACTTAATAGATATATATAGAACATTTCATCCAACAACCGCAGAATATGCATTTTATTCAACAGTACATGGAACTTTCTCCAAGACAGATCATATGACAGGCCGTAAAATGAGCCTCAATAAATTTAACAAAATTGAAATTATATCAAGCACTCTCTAAGAGCACAGTGGAATAAAACTGGAAATCAACTTCAAAAGGAACCTTCAAAACCATGCAAATAAATTAGCTGGGTGTAGTGGCAGGCACCTGTAATCCCAGCTACTTGGGAGACTGAGGGAGAATTGCTTGAACCTGGGAGGCGGAGGTTGCAGTGAGCCGAGATTGTGCCCTTGCACTCCAGCAAGGGCGACAAGAGCAAAACTCCATTTCAAAACAAACAAAGCACCAAAAAAACCCCCACAAACAAAAAATGCAAATACATGTAAATCAAATAACTTGCTCCTGAATGAGCATTAGGTCAAAAACGAAATCAAGATGGAAATTAAAAAATGTTTCAAATTGAGGCTGGGTGCAGTGGCTCAGCACTTTGGGAGGCTGAGGTGAGTGGATCACCTGAGGTCGGGAGTTCGAGACCAGCCTGACCAACAAGGTGAAACCCCGTCTCTACTGAAAATACAAAATTAGCTGGGTGTGGTGGCGCATGCCTGTAATCCCAGCTACTCGGGAGGCTGAGGCAGGATGAACCCCTTGAACCCGGGAGGCGGAGATTGCAGTGAGCTGAGATCACCCCACTGCACTCCAGCCTGGGTGACAGCAAGACTCCATCTCAAACAAAACAAAATAAAACAAAACAAGCAAAATAACCCATCTATGACAAACCCACAGCCAACATAATACTCAACGGGGAAAAGTTGAAACTGTTCCCCCTGAGAATTGGAACAAGACAAGGATTCCCACTCTCATCACTTCTCTTCAATACAGTATGGAAGTCCTAGCTAGAGCAATCATACAAGAGAAAGAAAGAAAGGGCATCCACATCCACAAAGAGGAAGTCAAACTGTCACTGTTTGCTAATGATATGATCGTTTACCTTGAAAACCCTAAGGACTCCTCCAGAAAGCTCCTAGAACTGATAAAAGAATTCAGCAAAGTTTCTGGATACAAGATTAACGTACACAAATCAGTAGCTTTTCTATACACCAACAGCGACCAAGTGGAGAATCAAATCAAGAACAAGAACTCAACCCCTTTTACAATAGCTGCAACAAACAAACAAACAAAACAAAACAAAACAAAACAAAAACTTAGGAATATACCTAACAAAGGAGTCGAAAGACCTCTACAAGGAAAACTACAAAACTGAGGAAAGGAATCATAGACAACACAAACAAATGGAAACACATCCCATGCTCATGGATGGGTGTAATCAGTATTGTGAAAATGACCATACTGCCAAAAGCAATCTACAAATTCAACACAATCCCCATCAAAATACCACCACCATCATTCTTCACAGAACTAGAAAAAAAAATTCTAAAATTTATATGGAACCAAAAAACAGCCCACATAGCCAAGGCAAGACTAAGCAGAAAGTACAAATCTGGAGGTATCACATTACCTGATTTCAAACTATACTATAAGGCCATAGTCACCAAAACAGCATGGTACTGGTATAAAAATAGGCACGTAGACCAATGGAACAGAATAGAGAATCCAGAAATAAACCCAAATACTTACAGCCAATTGATCTTCAACAAACCAAACAAAAACATAAGGTGCAGAAAGGACACCCTTTTCAACAAATGCTGGGATAACTGGCGAGCCACCTGTAGAGGAATGAAACTGGATCCTGATCTCTCACCTTATATAAAAATCAACTTGGCCAGGCGCAGTGGCTCATGCCTGTAATCCCAGCACTTTGGGAGGCCAAGGTGGGTGGATCACGAAGTCAGGAGATCGAGACTATCCTGGTTAACATGGTGAAACCCCATCTCTACTAAAAATACAAAAAGTAAAAAGAAAAATAAAAAAATTAGCCGGGCGTGGTGGCAGGCACCTGTAGTCCCAGCTACTCGGAAGGCTGAGGCAGGAGAATGGTGTGACCCCAGGAGGCAGAGCTTGCAGTGAGCTGAGATCGCACCACTGCACTCCAGCCTGGGTGACAGAAAAAGACTCCATCTCAAAAAAACAAACAAACAAACAAACAAAAAAAACACAAAACACCAACTCAAGATGAATTAAGGACTTAAACCTAAGACCTGAAATTATAAAAATTCTAGAACGTTGGAAAAACCCTTCTAGATAATGGCTCAGGAAAAGATTTCATGACCAAGAACCCAAAAGCAAATGCAATAAAAACATAAAAACAAAGATAAATAGCTGAGACCTAATTAAACTAAAGAGCTTTTTGCATGGCAAAATAAAAGGCAGAGTAAACAGATAACCCAAAGAGTGGGATAAAATCTTCACAATCTATACATCTGACAAAGGACTAATACCCAGAATCTATAATGAACTCAGTAAGAAAAAAACAATTCCGGCCGGGTATGGTGGCTCACGTCTGTAATCCCAGCACTTTGGGAGGTCGAGGTGGGCGGATCACGAGGTCAAGAGATTGAGACCATCCTGGCTAACACAGTGAAACCCCGTCTCTACTGAAAATACAAAAAAATTAGCGGGCGTAGTGGCGGGCAC